CGTCAGTTATGCAGCCCATCCCGGAAACCAAAGAAATTCGATTTCGCTGCTGCTGCGCGCACTGGGTCCAAAAATTTAGAGTCTAGCGCCGGCAAAGCTTTTATGATAGACGGACACCCGGCAGCCTCATCTGTTTTATCCCAGTAACTAACGAGTCTGATGTGCCCGTGAATGTTATATTACTGTAGACCACAGGTGACACTTGCTAAATTGTAATACTTTTCTTTAACCAATGACAGCCTGCAAATCTCTTTACAGCTTGTTCGATAGAGAATTGCTAACCATATATCACTTTCTATACGTCTTTAAATGTCGTCTTCAACAGACACAAACCACTGATTTACGTGCCTGGTTCGACAATCGGCCGATACTCCCCTAAGATAATCACATCAACTAAACTAATTATTCCAGTTTACGAGAAGTATACGACATGTCTCATGTGTGCAAATGCAGCCGCCGATGCTCTGGTAGAATCCAAGAGATTTCCGCCCATGACGGCATTCCAATGATCTGGTAGCCATGGCCGACTTGCAACTTACTGATCCAGAGTTTGCTTAATTACACGTCTTCTTCACTGGTCAAACGACCCATTCCGCTGACATCATCAGATGGAACCATACTTTACGAACCGTTACTGGGCACACTACGCCCAATCGTAAAGTGTGGATTTCGGCACACCTTATTCGACCAGCCGCATGTCTTGTTTCAACCAAGCGCCTATGTATTCGTGAAACATAAATGCTGGCTTCGTTTGGTAAAATGTTAATCGCGACGTTCGTACTAGGGCAGCTGTATACTTTACATGTCAAAATGCGAAAGTGCAGATCCATACGAAATGCCCATTAGGCACATTTCCGACGTCAGATTCACGCTTTCCTTCCGTACACATCAAACTCGTAGGACCTCTATCGCCTTGGAATGGACCGGCATACTTATTGACTTGTACTGATCGGTTCACTATCTGGCCGCAGACGATTCACATTCTGAACGTCTCGTCGGAAACAGCAACGGAGGCATTTTTATAGCGTTGAGTGGCCCAGTATGGTGTCCCTACCCTAGTGATCACCAACGATGGACCACATACCATTACCATGTTTATGAAGGATTTAAGTTGCCTGCATGTCAGGACAACGGCGTATTACCCAAACGCTAAACTCAAGATCATGTGATATCACTGCCAGCTGAACACAGCACTCCGAGCACATCCAAACCATTCGAGGTGCGAAATCCCTCCCCACAATGGAACAATGGTGTAGTAGGGTTAAAAGAACAATGCTTAACAAGCCTCGTCGGACGAAAAGCATTGAAAAAATAAAAATTCACAATAGAAGGAAAACTGTCTTGGTAAACTCCCCATATACACACGTAAAATCGCCAAAATGTTCGTTTGATAAAAGTATAAATACATTCACTCAGACAGCCGCCACAATCCCGGAAAAGCACTGTACGCGCGTTTCATCCTTTCGGGAATCATCAGCAGTGCGCATTCCATCGGATCCTTGGTAGGGTTCGAACCCGCAACTCGACTGTTGCCAGTCCGTGGTTGAGACCACTGAGCTACGGGGACGGCAACGACCATCGTGAATAAGTTACTAGATGTGATATAGCGCCGCTCACTATCCACTGATGTGAGGAATTTCTACCTATGCCATTCAACTCCCCCTACTACTCATCTGTAATCAGTACGCAGACCAAACTGCTTATGATGCCATAAGTTAACTGGCGGCTAAGTTTGGTAAGCTCGTCGCTTGGTGAGGGGGCTACCCTGTTCTCTGAACGGCAGTAACGTGTAAGTCAGTGGATAGTGAGTGGCGCTATATCACATCTAGTAACTTATTCACGATGGTCGTTGCCGTCCCCGTAGCTCAGTGGTCTCAACCACGGACTGGCAACAGTCGAGTTGCGGGTTTGAACCCTACCAAGGGTCCGATGGAACGCGCACTGCTGATGATTCCCCAAAGGATGAAACGCTCGTACAGTGCTTTCCCGGGCGTGTGGCGGCTGTCTGAGTGAGTCTAGATGTGACGAATTTCTACCTATACCATTCAACTCCCCCTACTACTCTTCCATAAATACATTCGTTGGCATTTTTGAAGCACACCGTTTGGTTGTGTTATGTAGCCTCCTGACCAACACAAGTTATAAAACGTTAACTGGATAGGACAATGTTTCGTCAAATCAATTTTTAAATCGTTGGATTGTGGGCAGAGGCGACATAATTTAGGAGAGCAACCCACGGCTGACACACTCGATGTAAGAAGACATTCCAGCCGGCTATATGTTATTGTTAGTTTCATAGGGTCATTTCTTATTTCAGTGTTGTGGTTCAACTCCAGCAGCCAGCGACAAATGTGAGCTGAGTGATTCAGGATCTGGTACATCATTATGTTACGGTGTACAGCTGACACGTTACATCATTATGAGGCCCACCCCTAGGGACTTTAGTTTTACCTGATAGGACAGATGGAAGAGGCCCCAACCGTATTTGGTTGCCGTTCGTTGAGGAGTATCGAGAGCAACAATGTCCTGTTTCTGCCAGGGGTGCTGCGCTTGTATGGCATATTCCACATGGGTTCACACGTAAGCGTTATGCAGTTGTGGGAAGATTGAGAGGTCAAACCGACCGAACGCTCTGTGAAAATAGTCAATGTGCTGATTGCGGTTTCTCGAAGCTTTCTCTGCATGTTTTGAGCATCCGAGACCTACTTGTATCGGTATAGTCAGCTCACACTCCTGAAAGTCCTGTAAATTACGGCGTCCAAGCTTGTAAACGTTCACCTGGTTGATGACACCGCTGGAGTACCCTGCATTTCGTTGTATTGGACTGGAGTAGGTTCCTCGTTGCCTCTTCATGAACGTAATCTGGATAATGTTGTTGGAAATCATGCTCTTCCTTGCCATTGGTGGTTCGTTATATTAACATCATCGGTGGAACGCAGGGTTATTGTAGGAGATACTTGTAGTCAGTTCGTTGATAAAGTCCATGAATAACCGCGGTTCATATGCTTGAGGAAACCTGCTAAGACCGATTTCGACGTAACGTCAGCGCAGTTAATCTAAGGCTGCACGCTACATTTGACTGGACAGCTGGTGGCACCAACACAATCCACTTCACCCTTTGACCAAGGAGGCTTTACTGATCGGTTAGCGCACCAGCTGCGTAAGCTGAGCTGGCCTGCTTTTCGGTAGTGGACTACACCGGTGTAGGTACACGAACGACTACATACTTGCTCACAGGAAATGCTCCATGTAGACGACGTTCGACAACGTATACCGTCGTCGTACACCAGGGCTTTTAGATGACTAGGGCGTACGAGCAAACGGTTACAACCTATCGCGGTAACACACACGCGAAGTCGTCATCACTGACAGCGTAAAGCCTTTTCAGCTTTGTTATCTCTTACGGTTAGGTGCTGCGCTACAACTAACTGTGCCACGTTTCAACAGCCTTGTATTTCCAAAGCAGATGCCGATCACCGTTAACAGGCTACAGCCGTCTATACATGGTCCTTAACAATCCTGTTGCTACACAAGACCAACTGGCTTTACCGGAATGTTTGTAAACCCGTTAGGTGTTCTGACTAGATGTGGTGTAAATAAGTTTAGGTTTGCAAAGATTACATTCATTGACCACGTTTTGAAAATAGTAGAACCGAAAACATCACAAACAGCGCACGTAGACTATTTGTTCTTTTAGCGGTCTTTATGAACGCCTATCTTCTGGTGCCCACATGTCCCAATGCACTTGTCCGATCGAATAGCCATCATAGACACCGCATTTGAGGATAGCTACAGTCGATGATGTTCCCAAAGCGTAAGCTGGACATCCCCGTATGAGCAATGGAACAATGGAACAATGGATTTATGCGGGTATAAAAGCTAAAGCTTGACAAATCCCGTAGGGTGATCAGTGCGAAAATCATAGAAGTGTGAAAAATTCAATGGAAACCAATTCAGTAAAATCGTTTAACAACGAGTCACTACAAGCTTGTGGACGCACCGAGTTTGATGTGTCAAAATAATAATCCACTATAACTCCGGAGGGGATCATGAGGTATAGAGTATTTGGTTAAAAGAGTCACCGCCCCTTGAAATTCGCATGGGGCAAAGTGTTTGAGTTTGAAGCGTCAAAATATAAATCCACTGTTGAAATCTGCGTGGGGGAAAATTATTTTTAAAGTATGGATTTTGGACCTCTCAAAATTAGACTGTAATATGGGAGATAGTGCAATGAAGTGAGTGCACTATCAACTCGATTTTTGAACTCGATCAGGTTGGGTGCACTGACTACAGAGGGTGGTTGCTTTGGCGCTGGGTCTAGAGCGAAAGGAGAAACGCCAATCCGAAGTACACCATTTAGCAGCAGCAGAGGATAAGGTCCTGTTACTCTTCTTTCTGGACTTTCCAGTGTTTTATAGTCAGACAACGGCTCGCCGTGATGCTCTGTGTCCTCCGCGTAGTTAACTAGCAAGATGTTAAGGTACAGCGGACCTCGATTTTCGACAAACCCCATTTCACTACGGACATTCGCACTCCAATCTACGTGGCATAATTTCGCTCTGTTGACTTCAACTCACACAATTCTCGAAGGCTTCCTTTGTTCAGACTTCTCAATGGGAGCTGTACAGGTCGCCAAGAGACAAATCATATGTCTTACTTACCATTGCATTACTGGTGACTGTTAAACTATTCATCCTTGGCTTATTGCTCCCCACACAACTCCTAAGTTTTATTGCATCTGTCGGTCACAAATTCGTCCCTTGAGTTCATTTACTAACGTGTGCTCTTACTAGTACATGCTGTTGACATCAAGTGAAGCAAATTGAGGGTAATAACCGGCGATTAAACGTAAACAACTTCCTTTCTCGACACTCGGTTGCATGTTCACTTGTGTCTACAACCGTTTCTACGTTTAACAAATGTGCAAATTGTCAAAACAAGAAACTAAGCAATGACAAAGTCAATATACTTAGGCAACCCTATAGGTTCCATGGTTAAATTTAACTCACCAAGAACTGAAACTTGTAAACCAGAGATACCACGCGTATTTCCTTGCTATCCGAGGTTTTCTGAACACTGCATTTGTAGAAGATTTGAAGTGCACATTTACTTAGGTAATGACATACATTTATCGATGTAATGAAATCAGGATGATTAGTCTCACCTCACGAGATCGCGGTAAATGTTTCTTGTAAAATCAATGTATACGTTGATATTTTCCTCTCTCTGGCATAGCTCACCTCCAATGTACAAATGCGAAAATAATCGAAACAAGAATTCCTCTCTTTCTTTCAAAGATATGACAGCGTACTTTTCAAAATCGCTATCTAGTATGAACTTTTTACGAATAAAGCCATCGGATGTAGGCGTTTACTTTTCCTAATTCATCTGAGATGATTAGGGAATCAAGCACATGATCGTAGCACTTAACAATGGCGCCATTGGGCCGCGCAACCGCAGACTTCACAGAGTGAAACATCTTCATTGTTGTCAGTGTACACGGGATGCGTGAAACTTCGCAGGTACACTTCTTACTGTCTGTCACAAAACAAGCCCAGGTAAGTTAATGTTATACCAACGGTTCCACCAGCCAACACACCATTGGACAGCATACTGTTCTGAACCCCTGGATCACTGATGAGGGACTGAAAGCCATATGTACATGCGCAGTTGGTACCTTGAGAAAACATTCTGCGTCATATTCCCGAAAGTTTTGATCGAAACTAAAAGTCAATGCATGCAGTCTTCCCTTCATCGACCTGCCCATCAACTTGCTTTTAAAATGGTAGAGATTACCATTTCATCAGCATGGCTGAAGAGTCTTTAGATTTCAGAGAATCATAGGTGCGCGATTTAAGCTCCACAAACGTGAACATTGCAGTTTTCGCCTGATTTTCCAAGAGCGACATGGAATTCTAGTATGCAGTGGGCACAGCAGAAATGACTTATAATTGTGGCTGAAAAGGAAGAGAATAATGTGTGTCATTGGGTTGTTACAGCGGTTACAGCAGGCACCGCGAACAGACACAAAACAGAAATTAAGAGCAGTGTGGGGAACATCAATTTACCCAAGTTGGGGAGTGTACGGGTGTCTGTCAGCGAAGTAATAAAGAGTAAATTCGAGCTTAAACTGGGGGGACACGATGACCGAAGCCCGTGTGGCGTTCCTTTAACTGATACTTAATAAGGGGTAGACACGACGCCCCTAACTCTTGATGGACTTAAAGTAAAACACATGCATCACGCCGTACGCAATCAAATACCACTCACACATCCAATAGCCTGAGCAATAGCAGGCTCAGTTGGACAGGCCGGGTGAAGTACGAAGAAAGATATTCTATACTCATAAGACAAGAGTGGAAAGCAACCTTGAATAAGATGAATACAACAAGATAAAAGCAAACGTTGGAAGTGGCAGATGGCGAGAAGAAGAGTAGTGTTGGTACTACTAGCGAAGATTCGCTAGCGGTAGGATCCGGAAGGAAGTTACAGTACTTGATATCTTAGTGCGAATAGCAAGTGTTTGCTCTAATTCACTCAGAGTGCGTTTTGTGCAGCTGTATAGGGTGACCTCGAAGATAAATAAATTAGACGGATTAGATGAACGAGTGAAGTCGGTATCCGACTTCCTCATTAAAATACGGTAAGTGAGGAACAACTCTCTTCATATTCCTTGTCAGTAGATTGGATGCATTACATGAACCAGAACTCGATAATGACCATGGTTCCATCGGGTATATCACAACACGAGTTCTTCCAAGATGTACCAAGAAATATATAATCAATGATTAAGTACGGTACAAATAACTCAACAAAAACAAAAGTTATATGATTTCAAATTATCTTGATAGCATACACCCCATAATACATATCTCACACACGCATGAGCATGATAATTTTTGTACCCATGCTCTGCCCACAATCCAGCGACAGCTTCTCTTACAACCGGGAAATATACGTATTATTATTAGTATTCTTATAATAATTAGCAGCATTTGGGTACACACCTCTCTCCGTGAGCTATGCACTAAATTAGTGCCATGTTGCTAAACCATTTTTGGTCCCAATTTGCCACGGAAATCAACGGTATCAAATGTAACACAGTGTTCTAGGTGGGGTCGCATGAACACTGATAATAATTTTGCAAACATACCAGTCGGTAACTTTACGAGGAAACAGCCTATTAATTGCGGCACACGTGAATGTCTGCACGCAGGCTCAAGTTTTCCCTAGAGTGAAGAGTCGAAATTCAGCAACACCCAGGTCACCCTGCTGAATGGAAAAAGACAATAACGCATTTCGTGGATGGACCGGTTGTGCCAAAGCATAACATGAACACTATACCTGGTCTATGGGCATCCACTGTAAAGTTGACTAAACTCAGTCTGGAAATAATGTAGAATTCCGATCGTATTAGTTTACACAATTTCGGATTTACATTCTACTAGAATCTGCTACGCAACCACTTCCTGGACTGATAAAATCACTCCGACTGATGAAATCATTTCGGGAGGAAGCTGAACGGTAAGTTCGCGAGGTTTCATCATTGCAGCTAGGTTGAACTACACTAAAAGTGCTGTCCTAAGGTTCAAATATCGTTGCCCCAAGCCTGGACACACAGCTTGATCTAGAAGTGAAATTTGAAAATCTTTACGCGCTGGTGGCTAAATTCGTGCCTACAAGGGGATTAAATGTAGGAAAGTTTAAGGCCAACCTGTTTGAATCCTGCTATCAGGATCTGACCCACACACTGTCAGCCAGGAAGTTGCTGACAACTGATCACTTAGACAAGCCATAAACACCGAGGAAAGCAGAGCATATTATACCCTCGCGGGCAGAAAATGGCGAGGGAATCGCTATTACGGACAAAAGCGAATACCACATTGAAATGAGTGCATTACTTCAGGATAGCACAAAGTTCATAAAAATGTTAAATGAGAAGGGTAAAACCTATACGGTTGAAAAGGCTATATCACTCAACCAAATGAAACAGGAAGGACGGATCGATTGTATGACAG